CACGTGCGGAGTTAAAGCCGGGCGGCGGGCAGTCCGGGAGGAGTAGCTCGGTCCGTGCGCCCCGTCTCGCTCCCGCTGCCATGGCCGCGCCCGGCGAGGCGCTGCCCGCGCAACAGGTACCGGGGCCCTGGCTGGGAGCGGGCCGGGGGGCGGGCCTTCTTCCCGGCTGCAGCTGCGCCTTGGCTCGCACGGCGACTCCTACCAGGATTTGAACGACGAGGGAGTTGAGCCCCCCCTCCCCATAAGAGACGAGAGCCCACCTGAAAACCATAACCTGGGAGAGGGGCTGTAGTTTCTTTGGCGCGTTGGGGCGGGAAGCCCCACTTTTTTTGCAAGGCCCCGGCTCTTCCAAGTGCCCTTCGAACTCTAAGTCCTTGTCTTGGTTGGGGCTGTTGCTATTGAGCAGGGCTGGGTGGCAGGGCTTTTTCAGACACGCCTGTAGTGGTCAGCATGTCTGCTGGTCAGCGCAGTCAGACGTATCACATAGGTTTGCCCTAGGCAGCAGGTGTCTAGGTGTTTTGGATCAGCATCCAGCACAGGCGTAAGCAGAATGGCTAGGTGGCGACAACCCTTGTCCCGCCACCGCCACCGTGGTCCTGTCTGCATGCTGAGATGGCCTGAGACTCTGCCTATGACCTGGCAATGGTGCCCCAGTCCCCCTCTTGGGCCAGGCTGAAAGGTGGTGCGTGGACATAGTTAGGAGCTGCCCCACCATGACAGAGTGTAGGCATGAGATGTAGTCAACCACAGCAGGAGTACCTGTAGATGGAAGGACTCAGGTGTCTGAGAGCAGGGTACTGCAGCAGTGCTGGAGGAAAAGCTTTGCAGGTCACTAGGTTAAGCCAGAAGGCCCCTGCAGTGAATGCCTGCATTTGAATAGTTAATCCATTAAACTAGATGCAGACTTGTTCAGCAGTAGGTCTGCCCTGGTATGGACTGGCTCACATAGTCAGAGTATCCTGTGCCCTCTGAACCAGAGAAGCTGTCTGTGCTACTCCATCCTGTGTTTCTAAAGCCAATAACTAAACACTTGGCTCAGTTGCTGAAGTGTGAAATGCCTACCTCAGCCTTTTTGTTAAAAGGTAAACTGAAGTAATGCTAAGTGCTTAAACTCAGCATAGAGATACTAAGCAAGAAAAGAGGCAAGCAGCGGGGTGTGTGCATACATGCAACAGGAACGGATCTATTTGACCTGGAAGTTCATTATGAATGTTACAAGTTGTTAAAGGAATGCTCTTACAGTATTAGCAGATGTTGGAGGGACTGTTGTTGGTCTCGTACCATCTCAGTGAGATCTTAAGGGGAGAAGCTGTAAATTGCTAAGAAATGGACTTTAAGGGCTTGCTTGCAGTTTGTCTCAGGATTGCAAGAAGGCAGCCCATCCTGGCCCAGTTAGCACCACACCTGCACTGCTGTGGCCATGGTTGTGACCCCTCCTGTAGCTATAGTGAAAACTGCTTCCAGGAATACTTTTCAAATGAACATTGTTGTCTTGGCACAGTGAAGAAGCTTGCAAAAATTGTTCCTGCCTGCCAGGTCTCCCCAACTCAGTGCTCCTGAAGTTTAGCTGGTTGCCAATATCATCTGGTGATTAGCTGAACTATTCCTTCCTCTGCAAGTTTTTAGTCAGGCAAGCCTGTAATAGAACTGCATTACTCCTCAAGATTTAAATGCTAAATAAGTTTTTTGTTTTTTTTCCCCCCTAAATTTTAAATAGCGTGCCAGGAGCAGGACAATACACAAGTGCTGTTAATTAATTAATGCATAACTTCCAAAGCTGCATATTGCAAACAAAGTCTCTTTGTTGAAACATGGTCAGCATTATTTTGATCTTCCAGGTTAATCTCTTGTTTTGTGAAATATCTAAAGTTAAAATTATGCTTCCTTGAAAGGTATCTTTGGAAGCATATGTGAAATGAAGTAAAGTAAGAGCTCTAGATTCTTAAAGTACTAAAGACTTTCTTGTTTGTGTCTGCTCTGCCTCCCCCCGCCACCCCTTCCAACCCCATCTACAGGATCTTCTGCTGGCGGCTGCTTTTGTTTGCGATGCTCAGTATAACAGGAATATTCCATTTGAAACATCGCCGCAAGCAGTCAGGTAATAAAATGACCTGAAATCCACCATGGTCTACCATGCAAAGTGTTCAAGTGCTTTTAAAGGAAAAACATTTTCCAGTCTAGTTGGGGGATGTTGAGGAGTAGTGTTGCTCGATGCAAGGGGAAATGGAAACTAACTTGGCTACCAAGGCTCTGGTCTTACAAATGTTTAGACAGGTTTCCAGGTTGTAGCTGTATTGGTGTAGAGGAAAAAGCAATCGGGGCCCGTGGGCAGACGTGTCTTTTATTAGACCAACAAGATTTTTGCAAAAAAAAATTTCTATCTATTGACTCCTCTGTGAAATACTATGAAATATGATCTTTCATTTCTACCCAGGAGAACATTTACAATCTTCTCTGATGCCTGACAAAGAGTGTTTGTGCCCAGAAGCTTGCAATTAAAGACACTTTTTTTGCAAAAATCTTGTTGGTCTAATAAAAGATGTCACCTCTGTCCACGAGCCCTAAATGTTTAGACATACATTTAGACTATCTTAGACATCTGTCTAAGATGGTTTGTTAAGGATGTTGCTGCCTCAGGCTGAGAGTTGGATTAGATGACCTCCCACAGGTCCTTCCAGAGCTACTTTTCTATGATTCTATGAAATGTTATGCACAGCCTCTGCTCTGTTTGTATTCAGATCCTCAGCAGCTTAAAAGGAATTATTTGTATGCTTGAAGTTAAGAGTATATGTAGTATATTCAAATTTTTGCAGGGTTGAGGAATAAAAGAATAGTAGCAAACGGAATAAAGCCTTTTTCCTGTGTTTGTACTGCCCTTTTATATAAATGTGTGTGGTGGGGAAACGGAGAGAATGTGGTGAGGGAGTTGTGTGATGTGTGAATACAGGAAGTGGGATCCTTGCTTTGTCATCTTGCCAATAATGTTAAGTCTTGAATGCTGTTTTCCTATTCTTTTTTGGAGAACTCTTCAGAAACTTGGCATGGTATGGCAATACCATACTAAACTGAAATCTGAGCTGTTGGCTGGCTGCCTCTGGTGGAAATGTTCAGGAGTCTATCCTCTTGTGCTTTTTGTCAGAAGTCACTCAGACTTTAACTAAAACAATTCTGACTGACTGACTGATTTATTCCCTTTTGGTGACTAGGCCTATTCAGAGCGAACAGAACTGTTGACTATACAAACTAACTCCTTAGTAATAAAGCATTAAAAGAGAAGGTAGTGCAGAAGGGAAGGAGTGTAAAAGAGTACTATAGGGCAGCGGCTCTTAACCTTTTTTGTACTATTACCCATTTGTAAACATCAGTGGCTAGTCCTGACCCAGTGCCCCTCACTCCCGACCTGCTGCCGCCCAGCCCCCCCATGCATAGGGAGCCGGGGGGAGGGGCACACAGCCTCTCGCAGGCTGGAATTCTGCCAGCCTGCAAGGGAAAAGCCTCAGTTCCCCACACTTTTCCTACTTTAAAGGATAATCAACTTTGAAGTTTGTTCATGACCCTTTCATATACTCTTGTGACCCACTTTTGGATGCAACCCATGGGTTGAGAAACACTGCCATAGCGGGTGTGGGGTAAGAGGTAGAATTGAATCAAGTTTTGTGATTAATTCAGCCACGTCTCCCCCCCACCAGCTTTCACATCTGTTAGTGCTCTGTAGTTTCTCTGCTATCAGATTGCTTGGACCAGACACCCAAGCTATAAACATTTCATTTCCCTCAGATCTTGCTTTCTGGCTAAACATGGATACACTAAGGCAGTGGAGGCCAGCCTTTTTGGCATGGCAAAAGTGTGGGGCTAATTTGTAACATGCTTGCCAAGTGCCACTGTGGTCACCTTTCCATGCCTGATCTTCTGCTCTGCTTCCTGCTTCCTTCCCTGTGCCCCCTTCCCAATATTTCTTTTTCTGCTTTGCTTTCTACTTCCCACCTTATCTGCTACTGTACTGCCTGTCCCCTCCCTAGCCTGCCGTGTGGTGCACACAGAGGTAGCCCATACTGCTTGTGGCATCCATGTTGCAGGTTGGCCAGCCTTGGGCTAAGATCCTTGGCAGATATTTCCATCAAGCAACATGACATAAGCTTCATGGCACTTGCCAGCAGCTCTAGCATCCCCTCCCTCTGCCCACCAAAATGTACATGCACCTTCTGCAGTTCTGCTACCGAATAGTAAGCTTTGAGCTCTCTCTGGGTGAAGGAGCTGCTTCCTAACCTTTGTACAGCGGATGGGAGGGCTGGGGGGAGCAGGACCAATGGAACACAAACTCTCCCAGAATACCTTATGTCAGGTGTTTATGAGCTGCTCAGAAACAGCTTTCCAAACAAATTCCCTCCCCTTCTCTAACTTACTATTATGTGTAAGTAAAGCCTGTCCTGTTGAACATCTATTGACACTGTTTCCCACTGAGAATTCCCATTGTGTGTTTGTGCCATCTTGGACTAAATGAATGGCTGGAAGAGAAATTTGATAAACTTGAGGGCATAAAACACTTCTTTTCAGGTTTGGGAAAGAAACAGACATATAAATTAAGTCAGGTTTGGGCAAAATATGGTGTGTGGACCACATCCAGCCCACTGGATTTTGTCCAGCCCGTGGCAGGTCCTTTAGTCTTGCCCTGGCTGTGGCATGTGCAGCCAGTTGGATGTTATGGAACTCCAGGTGGGTGGGGAGCAGGACAGGTGGGTGAGGCCAGGATCTTGAGCGGTGATGGCATGGGACTGGGGCCAGGGCAGAGCTGCGATCTGCCCCCTGAATGCCTCTGCTACAGGCATGGGTTCCACATGCAGGGGCATGTAGGGAACAGATTGCAGCTCTGCCCAGGCCTGAGCCCCTCATCACTGCCCCAAGATCCTGGGCCTGGCCCCAGACACAGCTGCCCTTTTGCCCAAGGACCCTTCCTGTCCAGCTGGCTGCACACCCTGCCCATGCAGGTCCCAGCTGGTCTCTGGAGACCCCAAGATGGCTTGGTGGTGACAGTGCAGGGCTGTGGTCCTGGGCAGAGCCACGATCTGCTCCCCGCATGCCCCTGCCCACAGAACTGGTGCTCATTGCAGGGGCATGTGGGCAGAAGGTCACAGTTCTGCTCCACGCTTGGCCACGATGGGACCATGAGTGGGCCAGGAGTGGCATCCAGGAGCAGAGCAGACAGGCTGGGCCCTGCCCATCCCACTCCCAGATGCTTCTGCTTAGCTGAGTGCAGAGCGATGACTCGCTGCCTGCACACCCCTGCAACAGGCCGTGGTTCTGCAGGGAGGGGCATATGGAAACAGATTGTGGCTCTGCCATGGGCTCCAACCCCATTATGTCACTACCCTGAAATCCTGGGATCTCCATGGAGACTGGCCAGGACTCACGTGTGCAGATGGATGGGGTGAGACCACTTAGGGAGTTTTGATGAGCTGTTGGGGGAGGTGGGGATGGTGCTGACCCAGCTCACCAAAATTCCCTACATTGCCCACTGGCCCAAATAATTACTCACTCCTGGGTTAAGCAAAATACCTAAAAGCTCATCAGACTTCTTTCATATGCTGGAGGGTAGAGCCATAGGATTTGGTGACCTAAAATTGGAGGACTGAGCCAAAAGGAATCTTAGGAGGTTCAGCAAGGACAAGTGCAAAGTCCTGCATGTAGGACAGAACAACCCCATGCACCAGGACAGGCTGGGGACTGACTGGCTGGGCAGCAGCTCTGTAGAAAAGGACCTGGGGGCTATGGTGGACAGTAAGCTGAATGAGCCAACAATGTGCCCTTGTTGTGAAAGGCTAATGACGTACTGGATTGCATTGGTAGGTGCATTGCCAGCAGGTCAAGGGAAGTGATTATTCCCCTCTATTCAGCACTGGTGAGGCCACATCTGGAGTACTGTGTTCAGTTTCGGGCCCCCCCGCTACAGAAAGGATGTGGACAAATTGGAGAGAGTCCAATGGAGGGTAACAAAAATGGTGAGGGGGTTAGGGGACATGACTTGTAAGGAGAGGCTGAGGGAACTGGGTTTATTTAGTCTAGAGAAGAGGGGACTTAATAGCAACCTTTAACCACCTGAAGCGGGGGGTTCAAAAGAGGATGGAGGTAGACTGGTGTCAGTGGTGGCAGGTGACAGAATAACGAGCAATGAGCTCAAGTAGCAGCAAGGGAAGTTTAGGTTAGGTATTGGGAAGAATTTTTCTCACTAGGAGGGTAGTAAAACACTAGAGCAGGTTTCCCAGAGAGGTGGTGGAATCTCCATCCTTGGAGGTTTTTACGGCCCTTTGGCTGGGATGATCTAACTGGGGGTCCCGCTTTGAGCAGGGGTTGTACTAGATAACCTCCTGAGGCCCCTTCCAATCCTAATTTTCTATGATATACATCTAAATTAACAACCTTATGTGGTATTCCCATTTTAAGAAAAGGGGCAATTATGAAGGATGAGTAACTTTGTATTTGTTTTTTTGTTTTGTTTTGTTTTTTTAAACCAGACTGATTCATGCTAAGAGTTAAATTTAAACTGGAGTTCACAATATTTGGATTCCCCTTTATATTGCTCTGTGAGGTTAGATAAAGTGTGGTTATAGTCAGCTGTTTTGAACAGTTGAGAAACATCCAATCCACATAATCAGAAGCAAAAACCTGTGTAAATGAACTGTTTTCCTTGGGAACAGCAATTAGACAGGGATGACTTGCAAAACCTCAGGAAACAGCTGCTTGTGGTACCTGCTGAGTCCACCTGAGGTCTTCTAAGAAACAATGTGTATTATGGTGATCTTTAAATAGCTAATGCTCAGGACAGTTTCTTGTTGCCTACTGGCAGTTGATCACTTAAAATCAATCTGCCTCGAATAGTGTGGAAGGACCTTTATCCCTTCTGTTGTACACTTACATTAATGCATATATGTACTAATACCCTAATTTAAAATGACTGTGGTTTGCCTTCCCAGACTTTATTATCTCTACAACCATTGGACTATGCAAGCAGCCACCTACTTCTTCGTTTTTGTAAACCTTTCCCTTGCTGTGTTTGAAGACCCTGCTGTGTACCCACTTCCATTCTTGGTAACCATTGGGATAAAATGGAAACAGTATTGCAATTTTGTTGTGCAGATTGTGGAGAATAGATGGGAAGCCACCTATGATAGCTTTGCTGCGCAAATAAATAATCAGTATTCCTCTGCCTGCATTTAGTGGAGAAGGCTGTTGAGCTGTTTATTACTATAAGAATAACAATAAATAATATCAGTTATCTTTGTGGCTTTTTTATACAACCTAGAGATATGACTATTTAACTGTGAGCTGCAAGTATAGATACAAGGTGGGTGAGGGAGGGCTTGAAATAAGATGAGTAAACAGCAAATTCCCAACAGAGAACCCATCTGATGCATTCCTTCCTACCTTGGTCTCACAGCCGGAGTGC